TCAGATTGACTGAGGGAATAAGGAAGTTCAGAGAACAAGATCAAAATCAGTCCCTGTTGATGCTGGCTTCCCTTCCACCAGTCATCATGCCCTGCCAATCTTGAAGGCACCAGCCACCACTGCCACAGCTGCTATTAACTTTTTTTGTTGTTGTTAAAAATATGGGGGATGAAATTCACCCATCTTTTGCGCTGTGTGTGTGGCTTGCCCTTGAAACAGGTAGAGGTTCTAGCAGCCTGAATGCTTCAGATAGTTTTCACTCATAAACCAGCAGTCACAAAGCCTTTTGGTGAGTCTTGGGACCACCTCAGACAGCCCATGTTTTAAAGCATATGCCTAAAATGTAATGCGCAAATACAACACCATTGTAGGTATTTTCAAACCCAGCTGTTACACAAAGTACACAAACTAGGGACTTTGATTGGTGATAGCTGTGAGAGAGCCTTTGAGGGCAAACACAGGTTTACCTCAGCATAATTTGAGAAATTCCTTTCAATTCATAGATCTAGCACAATGGTTGGCTGGTTTAATACATCTTGCCACACCAGGGAGCTTCCTTAATAGCCTGCTTTTGGAGTGTGCTAATCTCCAAGGTATTTTGCTGTTATTAAGTAAACAATGAAGTAAATGGAAATTGGAACCTCCTTCCTTTATCCAGACACCATAACCCACCACAAAGCATTAGCCTGTCCAGTTATGCGCACACAGAAAATGTTTGCAGCTGCCAAGGATTTCAATTTTGTAATGCTCCTTACATTACACTACTATTGTTCTTGCTGCTGTTTCTCTTCTATTTATTGCAGATAATCCTTCTTTGAAATGGCAGCAACATTTTTCACAAGTGGGGCATGCAATTTATTCAGAAAAAAAGTCTTCAAGAAATCTATGCCATTCTTTAATTTTGAAAATCTTTCTCATTGTAGAACAGTGTGGAGAACAGGAACTGGTAATTTTCTAGCCCTAACAATAGCATTATTGTTGTGTCACAATAATATCACTTACTCTCAGGTTAACACAGTGAGAGCTAGCTAGGGAGGAGCTCGTTTTCATTCAGAAATACTCCTGTGAGGTGTCCCTTTTTTGCTGTTACTGGCAAACTCAGGACACAGAAACAGGCCATCCTGTTTTTATTCTGTAGCGTTGAGGATGTCCCAACAATGCAGTGATGTCAGCAGCCTAACTCAGTGTGCTATATCTGTTTTCCATGTGTCCAACAACCAGCCAAGATGGCTTCTCTTTGACTACTGAAAACTCATCTCCCATGCAAATCCTGCAAGACTATTATGTTTACTTTTCAGTCCAGTATAACATCATTTACGTTTTCTCGAAGGATTTCACGGCCGGGATCCGATGGTTGTTGTAGGTTTTTCAGGCTGTCTGACCGTGTTCCTGAGGTTTTTCTTCCTAACGTTTTGCCAGTCTCTTCAGAGGACAGGAGTCAGAACTCTGTGCTCTGGTGCAGGTTTGTGGGATAGTTTATTTATAGCTGTGGGATCAGCATTTTTATCCTTTTCAGGAGATTGGGTGATTACGGTGATCAGCGTTAGTGTGAGCGTATTTTTTGCTGGGAGTGTATTATTGTGATAGAGGGGAGAGATGATCTGTCACTGTGATTGATTGGTGTCTTTAGCTGGTCTATTGTGTGCAGTGATCACTGGTACTTGTGGACCAGTAATCACTGCTTACAAAAGTCCAGCTAATGACACCCATCAATCACAGTGACAGATCATCTCTCCCCTCTATCACAATAATACACTCCCAGCAAAAAATACGCTCACACTAACGCTGATCACCGTAATCACCCAATCTCCTGAAAAGTTGATCCCACAGGTATAAATACTCAGCTATCCCACAAAACTGCACCAGAGCACAAACAGTTCTGACTCCTTTCCCCTGAAGATGCCGGCCACAGAGACTGGCAAAACGTTAGGAAGAAAAACCTCAAAGACATGTCCAGACAGCCCGAAAATATAAACTGTAGATATAAATTAATAGGGAGACTATAGGGTGAAAAGTCCTTCTTGCCCTCTGGCTTTGTTCACATTGATAATAACAACAAAAATTTGTTCAGTGCTTTATGAATATTCATTCAGATTTACTGAATGTATATTCATATACATTCAATAAATCTTACACATCTTATACTAGGTTGGTCTGCATTATTTCTGTACCTAGGAACGTTCCATTTGGTTTTTTGGACTACAAATCTCAGAATTCTCAATTCTGAGAGTTATACCTGGGAGGCCCACACATAGAGATACAGCTTGCTTTTGAACATGAAGCTAGGCCTATGCTAGGCCACAAAGTAACTGAGTTAGGCCTTTCTCCAGATGAGCAAAATTTAAGTAATTGTTTGGTGTGATGTTTTGTTAGTGTGGAGTTGCTTCCAGAGAAAGTTCAAATCTCCTCCAATTTCCCAATTAGTACAGTGGTGCCCCGCATAGCGAGGTTAAACTGTTCCGGATTAACCATCGCTATTCAGAAACATCGCTAAACGGAATAGAAAAACCCATTCAAATGGGCCCCAAACTCACCGTTCAGCGATGTTCCTCCATAGCGCAGGCATTTTCGCGCCCTCGGTAAGCGAGGGCAGGGCGTGAAAACGCTGCGCGCAGCCATTTTGGGTCTTCCGGCAGCCATTTTGGAACCACCGATCAGCTGTTCCCCCAACATCGCAATGCGAAGATCGGGAAGCGGAACGCTTACCGATCGTCGCAAAGCGATTTTTGCCCATTGGAACCATCGGTATGCGATCATTCATCGTTAAACGGTGCACTTGTTATGCAAGGCACCACTGTAGAATATAAATATCTGACCAAACTCTGGGAGGCAGTGGAAGACAGGAGGGCCTGGCATGCTCTGGTCCATGGGGTCACGAAGAGTCAGAAACTACTTAATGACTAAACAACAACAACAAAATATCTGAGAAATTGGCTGTATAGAGATGTGTGGATGTGTGGATCAGGGGCACTGCCCGGAAAGGGAGATTAGGGCTAGAGACTTAGGCCATTGGTGAACTTCAGCAGAAACCGGACTCCAGAGAGGCAATGTGTAACAGGTCTCCTCCTGGGCTTGCCTGCCACCATTCTTCAGGGACTCCTAGTGCACACAAGGAGCATGTAGTTTCTCTTTTATTATTTTACTACTTGTGCTTTTTCTTAAAGTATAAAAGAACCCTTGTCAACCTTGACAAGACTCCTCTCAGCCCCCTCTCCCATGACATGTTGTTCTTTTCTGCCATAAAGCAAATTCTCTCTTTGGTGATACTATGAGTGAATGACTTGCAAGAAGTCATATCATCAACAGGCCTCTTGGCTTCATTGTTTTTTATTTGCTATTTACAGGCAGTTCTGCAAACAGATTTCCACCATCTGCAAACCACCTTGGCCTAGGTTTTCCCACAACTGCAATGTTTACCCATGAGAATGTGAATCATTACTTAGAGATAGCCCAAGCTATCTCAAAGACCGCAGCCCCCCTTTATGAGCCTGCTGAAGTCGTAATATCATCCGGAGAAGTCATTTTCTCATTCCCACAACCCTCACATGTGCATTTGGTGGGGGCACGGGAGAAGGCCTTCTCTGTTGCTGCTCCCAGACTCTGGAACTCCCTCCCACAGAAAGCTAGACTGGCCCCATGTTTTCTCTTCCTTCGCAAGCAAAGACCTTTGTCTTCAAGTAGGCTTTCCTAGAGTGATTGGCTGCCTGTCTGGGGTTTTTTAATGGATTGTTGTACCTTAATGTTTATAGGGACATGGTGGCGCTGTGGGTTAAAACTGCAGAAGCCTCTGTGATGCAATGTCAGAAGACCAGCAGTCGTAAGATCAAATCCATGTGACGGAGTGAGCTCCTGTCGCTTGTCGCAGCTCCTGCAAACCTACCAGTTCGAAAGCATGCAAATACAAGTAGATAAACAGGTACCACCTTAGTGGGAAACTGTCTTTGGACAAACGCTGGCTCTATAGCTTGGGAACGGGGATGAGCACCACGCCCTAGAGTCAGACACGACTGAACTAAATGTCAAGGGGAACCTTTATCTTTACCTTACTGTTTTGAATGTCTTTTTGGTGTTGCATATCTATTTTGTATGGTATTCATTTGATCTTCTTTAGTATTTGTTCACTCACTGTTGTTAGTTTTAATATTATCTTTTAATGATGTAAGCCGCTTAGTACCGCCGTGGTAAAAACAAACAAACAAGCATTCATCTTTGGGATCCCATCAAACTGTGGATAGCTTCACTCATTGGCTAATTACACTAAAACATTTGTCCCTAATTACTGTGCATGGATGTACGAGAGGGACAGTGAAGAAAGCTGAGAGGGAAAAAAACTTGATTCATTTGAAACGTGGTATTGGATTAGAGTTTTGGGGATACTGCAAACTGCCTAAAAGACAAACAACGAAGTTCTAGGACAAATTGAGCTTGAGCTTATTATGGAAGAATGTTCAAACTGAGGCTATTATTTATTTGATTTGATTTGATTTATTTGATTTATACCCCGCCCATCTGGTCTAAAAGACCACTCTAGGCGGCTAACAATATAGTAAAAACAGTTAGACTTTGGACACGTCATGACAACACAAGACAATTGTGCTATGAAAAATGGAAGGCAGCAGGAAAAGACAAACATTGAATGTGAGGTAGCTTGACTTCTTTAAAGAAACAACCTTTAATTTGCCAGAGCTGAGTACTGCTGCTAATGACAGGACATGCTATTGCTCCTTAGTGTATAGGGTCACCATAAGTAAGAGACAACATGATGGTGCAGAAACACCAGCATACCGAGCAGAGGCTTGGAAATGTTATAGTTTGGGACTACAGCTCCCAGAATCCCCTGACCTACAATAGCCATAGATGACAGCACAATCTTCTTCAAGACTGTGATGGGACTGACCACCTGATTTGTTGGAGAGTCAGATCAATGGTTCCCTGTTCACAGACATTGATTGGCTGCTACAGTTGGCATGGAGACAGCTGAGGCCAAAGAGAAACACAGCTCCTTGATGTCAGAATGAGGTCACAATTTGGACTGGTTTTTGTTTCTTTGCAAACCAAGAGACAGTTAACAGTTGGACTCAGTATTAACACAGTCAGGATGGATCTTTGTGATAGGAAAGAAAAAAGGTCTGTGTGTGTTTGGCGGGGAATGTACTGACCTTCGAGAACCACTGTGGTATGTGATTGGTTCCCTGCTTGGGCCACTGGGAAGTAGGAATGGCAAACCACTCCAGGACTATCTCACATACCTCAAAGACTATCTTAGTGTCCCTATAAGTCAGAAGGGATTTGGTGATGATCACCTTAAATTTTAACATGGGGGGGAGGGTTTATAGAAAAAGTTGCTACTGTGTACAGTATATCTTATATGGGCAGTTCTTGGGATTTCAACATACGGGTGTGCTTCAGATATCTCATTTTGCCTAGAGCTTCCAAAGTAAAATTTTAGACCTCAGGTCCCAGAATCCTTGAGGCAGGATGGTGAATTACCATACAGTGTGGAAAAATCTGGGAATTGTGTTTTTCCCCACACTCTGCTTCTGTCCATGAGTTTGAGCAATGGGATGGCTTTATCTAAGGGGGAAAAATGCAGCCATCTTCCACAAATGTCAGATTGTAAAACAGGGAATGCCAGTACATTACTCCATGAAGTGCCCTTTCAGCTGTGGTTTCCTTCCATCATTTGATCTCCGAGTAAGGTCTTTCTTTTTCTTCTTGCCTTGCCATCAGGTGGAGGAAAGCAGTTGGTTTGGGGTCTTGTACAAGGACAACAAATTCATTTGACTCCACCAAAGTAAATGTTGGGATCCCTGAGAGACATGTTTGCAGGATTTTCTTCCTCAGGTGTCACAATAACTAGGCCAGTCCTGTGCACTCTCCACCTTGATTTCCACAGGCCACAACACTGATGATTTCAAATCTCTTTCCATTCATCAACACTCTTTATTGTTATCCACAGATTTGATGAGGGAACAAGGCTAAATATATGTTACCATTTGTTATTGCAGCCAAGAAAGAAGAGAGAATACACCTATTTGGTGGAGAAATGTGATGTTTTCTTAACCGACAGGAAAAAGGAACTCCCCACATCAATGGGACAATCCTTTCATGTAGTTTTTAGGTGCCCTGTCCTAAAACCGTTCGTGTAAAAATTGCAGCACCTTTTTATTTGGGAGGGTACTGCTTGAGTCCAGGGTACAGAAGTAGCCATGGGGTGCTAATCTTATCCATGTACCCTTTTCTAAAAGGCAAAACAATTTGATTTTACCTGTAGCTCTTTTTCATTTCAGATGGGTCATTTCTGCAAAGAGCAAAGAGGAGAGGACATACCCACCCCCACACTGACAGCACTGGTATAATTTATTTGCATTCTAATTTCTTTTAAATTTTGTACAGCTGCCCACTCACATCTAATACTTAACAACTGCCTCCTGCTAGACCCAGAAGGAAAAACTGTACTTTCTAGGATGTGTGGCAACTTGAGAAAGCCATGGATGATGGGAAGAAGAGAACGCTGACAACCCAAGTAAGGAACTTCATTTAGATACTATATATGCAGCTACGCCAGTTGCTAAAAGGTTATGCCTGTGCAAGACCCAATGTGATGTAGCGCAGTCATTCTCAAACTTTTTCAAATGGTGGCTCCCTTAATTACTGGCCACTTGTCACGGCTCCCCCATTATGATACTTTGGGTGAGTGGGGGAGAAGAGATTGTACTTCCATGGAAGTCAAAAAAGTTTGGAAACCTAAGGTTTGGAAATGAAGAAGAAAGCAAAGAGAAAGATGTCTAGAGGAAAGAGAGGAAGAAAAGGAAGGGAGGTGTGGGGGAGGAATACAGACAGGCATTGAGGGAATGAGGCCAAGGTAAAGGCAAGGCTAGGGGTTCTGGGGAGCTCTCCTGACCTGGACTGCCCCCACATAGCTGGTGAGAGGATGGAGTCCCCTCCCAATTAGGAACCTGGACCTTGAACCGCACCCCATCCAGGGCCAGCGGCAGCCCTTTGTGCTTGCTGCCTCCGACCCCTCTTGCTGGGCTGCCTTGGTTGGTTTGGCAGTGCCTTGGGGCAGTGGTTCTTAACCTTTTTGAAAGAAACGCCCCCTCGAGCCATTGAGGAAGTTATCATCACCCCCTCCTCACAGCGGCAGCATCAGATCTGCTGTCAGCACCAGCTGCTCTGGATCTGCCTCCCAGATCCGCTGCCAGCACCGCAGCTGTAGTCACCTTCCCAGGTTTGGCTCACTCCATCGCCCCTATATCGCTTCCCTTCTGTTCCTTCGCCCCCACGTCACCCCTTTTCGTTCCACCCCCCAAAAATGAAATCACCCCCTGGGGGAGGGGCGATATCGCCCAGGTTAAGAACCACTGCCCTAGGACACCACGACACAGTTTGGGAACCACTGATGTAGTGGACAGAAGGGTGGACTTTGTCAGCTCTTGGACTTGTTCCACATTAACTTATGGTGACATTAAGTTCCATCCTAATTTCCACTTCTTTGACATGGCTTTTCCCTTGGTTTCATAATTTATAATGGGGAAAGGGCAGTTGCTTTTCTAAGTTCAATCATCACACCCAAATGGCTCTTCAAGAAACAAAAATCGAATCGAACCACCACTGTCAGGCTGCTCGCACGAATGTACAAAAGAACCTCTGTATATGTATCATCAAAAAGCACAAAAGAAGAGCACATTTTCAAATAAATTCTAGGTGCTAATTAAACCATAATAATGCAAAAATGACCACAGTTAAAAGTATCACCTGCTTCTGTATTTGTAGAATTTCAATAGACAACCACTGTGCATTGCTTCACCCTGCTGAGATCCATTATGCAACCATTTCATCTGTGTGCTGACTCAGTCTGCTCTCCGCTGAAGGTCTGTGCTCTGCAGTCTTCATATTCACACCAGATTTGGGCTACGCAGGGCTTCCATTAAAGAAAAGACCTAAAACAGAGAGCTGTCTACTGTAAAGGAGGTCACACAGCCACTCTCGTATGTAATAAGGCTGAGCATTATTGCCTGGTGTCCTAGAGCAGTGGTCCCCAACCGTGGGCCTCCAGATAGAGGGTCTTGGATTTCAACTCCCAGAAATCCTGGCCAGCAGAGGTGGTGGTGAAGGCTGCTGGGAGTTGTAGTCCAAGAACATCTGGAGGCCCAAGGTCGGGGACCACTGCCCTAGAGCAACCATTAGGGCCAGCAGGGCCTCTCAGCGCTGATATCCTTTTCGGAGGCCTTCCATTTGAGGTACCGGGTTTAAGAGCCTTCCTTTCAACTACAGTATCGCCATATTTAGGCTCATTCCCTCATGGCACTGTGAACACACCCAGAGAGGCTTGTCTTGTCCCGTCCACTCTGCCAACCTGCTGTTCATGGTTTCAGCAGGAAGTCTGGAGAGGAGAAAAGTCCTGTTCACACCTAGGTTCTAGGTGTCACTCCTCTCCTGTCACTCCTTGACATTTTGGCTTCTGGAGTGCCAAAAGCCCTATTCAGCCATTGTTCTCCGTCATACTCTGAATACATTTAGTGGGAAGAGGTTAGCCTTGCTCCCTTTGTCACTGCATTCTACAAGGATACAGCAGTGGATCTGAAGAAGAGAGATTCCTTACACATAAGAACTTTAGAAATCTGGGTTCTTGCTCACCTGTCTGTCCTACATATCAACAGATCTCTTTCCTTCCACCCATGCCGTATAACTATGAGGAACACAAAAATGATGGGACGGGGATACTTGTCTCCCTCCAACCATGTTAATCTACTGACTGCCAAAATCCTCCTGTGGAAATTTACACATTGTAGAAGAAATTATATCAACTGCAGTGGCAGAAGCAGAAATTCAAGCAAGCTAATCGTTTGTTAGTAGCTCCTGATTAGAGTCTCATGAGTAGCTGTTAACCAAAGCAATATGCTGTTGGATTGCTGGTTGGGAGCAATCCAACAGCAGATGGCATTGATTCCCTTACACCATTTATTCTTACAGAAGAGGATTCTTGCAGTTACATACAAGGTGCCAGAGGATTTGCACCAAAGACTATGATAGCAGAGCCCAAAATGTTTCATAAATAGAACTATAGTGCCACCCAGAGAATGGCCTGGGATAAAGTAGCCAACCAGCTTGTCAGCCTAGCTGGACAAGGTGATCTGGGAAGCCATCAAGAACCTGGCTGGCCTTATAAAACATTTGTTTCAGGCCTTTGTCCTCAGGCTGAGCAGCTCGTCATTGTCACCAGGTTTCATTCTTATATGCTTTCAAGTTGGAATCAATGGGTAGTGACAGGCTTGAGCAGGGATTCAAACCCAAGCCTTCTGAGTTCTAGTCCGTTACTCTGTCCACTACACACCATTCAGGGTATCTCATCACCATCATAATAGCCATAAAATAACAGCTTTCCTTCCTCTGAATCATTTTTGTGTTTTTCCCCCCAAATGTGATTGTATACCCAAAATGTGTACCTTCTTCTGTCCCACCCCCAGGAGATTTTGATTTCTGCCCAGCCTTACTACACGCCTGACTGTTTGCCCCTCTGAGCTTTGTTCGCCTCTATTCAGCTTTATTCAGCTGTTCTACAGCGGGATAGAGAACGTTTAGCGTTCCTGGTGTTTTTTTTTTTTAATTTATTTATT